CAGATGGAAACGTGAGGCTGGAGGCTGAAAGGGGTGGCAGGCAGCCTCCACGATGGCCCCTCTGACCCTTGTCTCTGGGTACTTCCGGGAGCCTCCTTGCAGCCCCGCCTGCTTCCTGGAGGGGGCGGGGCTCGTGGACACCCCTCTGACAAGTAGCATCAGGCAGAAGTTTGCCTTACAAGGCTGTGGCTTCTCCCTCCCTCGGGTGCTTTCTCCCACTCACGATCACATTGCTCCCCTGGGGATCAGGGGTGCCTGAGCAGAGACCCAGGCGGGAGGGTTACCCTGGCCACAAACAGGGGTGAACTGGAGGCGGGTCCTTGCACAGCAAAGCCTTCAGATGCGACCACCACCCAGCCCCGGAGGGACCCTGCCACGACCCCCACGGAGCTGAGCCAGGACCTCAGGCAACTCAAAGCAAGACACTTTGAGTTTGTCTTGGGCCACTATGTCCGGGGCTTGTCACCTGCGGTAGACGACTGACACGCAGGGCTTCTTTAAAGACCCGGACACAACAGCCCAGTTGGCCTCCGGGGTAACCGCCAAGCCACGCGACCTCGGCAGATAAAAATGGACACAAACAGCTGCCTTTACTCAGCGCTTCCCAGGCCCCGGAGCTGCTCGAAGACCCGACAGACACCACCTTAGGTAACCCTCAGGGCCACTGTGAAGGAGCCCGTGTGTATTTCACTGCAGCAGAAAGATAAGTGAGCAGACCCGAAGCTTCAGAAGTGATGACTCTTGCGTCGCACACCCTGGCCTGTCCACACACCACACTCACCCAGGGAGGAACAAGTCAGCGAGTCCCTTAAAGACCACGACCAGGGCCCATGCCAGCCCTCCAGCCCTAAGGGAGCCAGAGTCGCAGGGACAGGACCCCAGAATGACCACATGAGGTGAAAGGTCATAAAAGACTGGAAGGCCTCCCTTGTTTTTCTCTTTTTTAAAAAGAATCCCATTGCTTTCTCCCCAAATCCAATTACACATTTCCTAACCCTCCTCTCAAGAATTTCAGGACTCCTCAGGTGGCAATATTAGTGAAGAACTCCCCTGACAATGGAGAAGATGCAAGAGACGTGGGTTCAATCCCTGGGCTGGAAAGATCCCCTGGAGGAGGAAATGGCAACCCACCCCAGTATTCCTGCCTGGAGAATCCCATGGACGGAGGAGCCTGATGGGCTACAGTCCAAAGGGTCGGAAAGAGTCAGACAAGACGGAAGTGACTGAGCCTGCATGCAAGAATTTCTTCAAATTTCACTTCAATTTCAACTCACTCCCTCTTGGGCTGTTACGTGCAAAGATGAAAAATGCCCAATCAGGAACCTTCCTATTATGTCCCTTCTCTTCTAAAACGCAAACTTCTTGGACTCCAAAAGGATCTCAACATCATGTATTATGTAAAAAAATAAAGGGGATGAATCAGGTGGGTGTTTCTGAAGGTCAGTTAAGACAGAAGTACCGCTGCCTGATCCATATAATGAGATGCTGCCTGGTTCCTTTCAAGGGTAGAGGGAATGAACGGGCCTCTTTGGAAAGGAGCCAGGCAGCTCTTCCTCCAGCCTCGCACCCTCCAGGCAGACCGCAGCTGCTCTGGAGACACAAATGGATGGTACCTCGATCCCTGCTTGGGAGAGAGACCGTCCCCCATCCCCGCCCTCGCCCCCGGGGGGGAGAACAGTCTGCCGACTTCCACCTGAGCTGGCCAGCCCCACAAGGTCACGGGCATCCTGTCTCGTCCCCTCCCAGCCCCTCTGCCAGCATGTGGCTTCATCAGCATTTGTACAGATGGCCGCGGTGGCCACAGCGTCCGCAGCTTCCCCAGTGCTGGGGCGGCGGGGAGACGGGGTCACTTGCTGCCTCCCCCCCAACACCCTCCATTTCTGGTGGGACCTCCAAGGCTCCAGAGAACATCTCAGCAAGAGTCCAGACAACCTGCTGATTCCCAGAGCAGGGCTACCTGGGTTCCCGTGAGGATAGAAGCTACATCGTCCCAGGTCCTGAGACCTGCCTACCCAACTCTGGGTGGGACTCCTAAAACTCCTGAACAGTCTCCAGATCAAGGGGCAAGGCTCGTGCCCTTGCATGCAAAGTTAGTTGTTTGGTTTCTAAGAGAGAAACTCAATCTGATGGCGGCGTTATTCGTTCAGGAAGTCAGGGCTGGAGGTGAGTGGTCCCCGTGTCATGGGCTGGATGGTCACTCTGCTGGGGAAACTTTCTGCGCATCTGCACCCTAGGGTGCTGAGCTGTGCTGATCAGGATTTGAGAGTTTCTGCTAGAAAAATGCCCAAGGGCGCTGATAGTCACCGCTCCACGAAAGCCATCCCTTCTCAATCCTGGGTCCCCCTCTAGTCCCGGGTCCTCTCTCCATGGGTAACTTCCCCTCCCAGCACCCCGCGGGGCCCACCCTCTTCGCTGTGTGGCGCCCCGTGGCTGCTGACTCTGTTTCCCTGAGCCTCTCTGTGTTCCTGCTTCCTTAGTCCTGCTCCATCCCCGACGGAAGGTACTGAGGGTTTTCTCTCCACAGAAAGAGCCCTGAACTGACCAGGAGTTGGAGGTGGGGGAGGAGACAAGACTAGAAATGGTCCCTCCCAGGTTGCCCTGGTTGTTTTCTGACACAGAGGGGACCCCCCCCCCCACCACTACCACGAGCCACCCCTCACCACCCACCAGGTTTTCCTCTCAATACCGTCCAAGAGGAAAGAGAAGCAACTCAGAAATCAAGAGTTACTAATTCCCATCCTGGGGCAAATTCTTTACCCAAACCTTGGCGCTGGCCGTCTATGTGTAAAAAGTAAATGATAAACAGTAATGATACCATATGGATTGGAAACAGCACAAATCCAGAGAAAGACGCATAGGAGAAGCCCAAGGTCATAAAGCCACCAGGGGGACCACAGGTATGGGAAAGCACCTCTGAGTCCGACAGACTTGCTGTTGCTTCAAATCACATCCCACATCCTCATCATGAACACATCCAAGCCGCCTGCGAAGCCCAGAAAACCAGCAGCTGCCCCCAAACTTCGCTTGAAGAACCGGTGTCCCAGGAAGCCTAGCTTGAAGGCTTGCGCCACTAGTTCCGGTCAGGATGTGAAGACACCCGGGACCCTCTCTTGGAAGGGAGGAGGGTCTGTGTCCACCACGTGGCTCGGACTAGGATGGTTTTTCTCTCCTCTCAGAGAGAATAAAGTCACAGAACTGCAGCTAAGAGCTCTGCCCAAGGCCTCCACAGCAGAAAAAGGTGGATACTTGAACCTCTGGTTCTGTCCCTGAAAACAAAATGCACACGGACACACACACACACACACACCTGCACGGACATCATGTCAGAACAGTCAGGAAAACTGCTGGCAAGCAGGCCTGTCTATTCCCAGAAATCCCTTCAGCACACTCACCCCCAGGCAATCCAGTTTTCTAGAAGTCTTCAGGTAGCAGCAGAGACTTAACACTGATTCCATCTCTTGGAAAACTGCTCACGACTTTAGCTGCCTTTGGATAGTTTAACGGCACGACAACCATTATTTATCCCAAAGACATTATTGGAACCTGTTTCCAAGTATATTTCCTCCTGTCTCCTTTTGCCCACTTTCTTTTTTTTTAAGAAAATAAATATGTCCCAAGGTTATTGAGTCCCTCTTAGCCAAGGGTCTTCCCAACAGGCAGAGACCAACAAGACCCAAGGTTCCAAAGTGACTCTGGGACCCACAGGCCCCTGGGGGGTGGACAGACTGAGACCGTCCTTGGGGAATCTGATTCCTGGTCCATTCCACTCCGCACGGTCTTCAGACCTTCTCTGCACAGTGGTTCTGTCTACACGGGCCACCGAAAACAAGCGTGCTGTGCACAGCCCCCCTGAGTCTGCAAGTTCTGCTCCGGGTGCCACACGGGACCCCCAAATTCTGGTGTGAGCCTCTCCCAGCCCCGGGCAGTACCTGCCGCCCTTCCTGTAAGGACACCTCAGCCCAAGGGCCTGGTACCTGCTCGGAGCTCGACCATCACTCCTCACGGTGTTCACGATAGGCATCAATGGAGAGGCCCAGTCCCAGAGGCAGGCAAGAGGTCAGACGGGTTGGAGAAAAGCAGGATTTCGTATTCATTCAGAATTCTGAAGGTCACAGCCCTGGCACTGGCATTCAGCTTTCTCAGGCCCACGAAGATGGACATTTCAGAGGTGAATGCTACCCGTGACTCAGGGAGCCAGCAAAGCACAGAATTTAAAAAAATGAAGCTGTCACAGAGCGCTGGGTCTGAGCTCCCTGCGGCCTCCCGCGAATTCCCACTGGCGATTTCGGATACGGTACGTCTATGCTTCAATGCTACCCTCTCGATCTGTCCACCCTCTCCTTCCCCCACTGTGTCCACAAGCCTGTTCTCTGCGTCTCTATTCCTGCCCTGCAAGTAGGTTCATCCGTACCATCTTTCTAGATTCCATACATATGTGTTAATATACCATATTCGCTTTTCTCTTTCTGCCTTACTTCACTCTGTATCCTAGGCTGTGGAGCGAAGTTCAAGAGGGAGGAGATGTATGTGTACCTGTGGCTGATTCATGCTGATGTGCGGCAGAAGCCAACATAATGTTGTAATTATCCTCCAATTAAAAATAAATAAATTTTAAAAAATAAATAAAAGGGGAAAAAAAGAACAAGAAGCTGGACGCGCTCAAATTCAAATCGACTTAACAGTTGTGTGGAGCAGGGTATTGAAACCTGGAGCAGGGTATTGAGACGTAGCTTTTACCTATGGGTAGGTTCCCGATTCCCAAATGTTTCCGCAAGGATTAAATAAGTTAATTGTTGGTAAAATGCCCAGCACATCGTCACTGATGAATAAATATGATCCTTGCTCACAGCAGATGTTCATCTTGATTCTGAGTGAGAAGGAAAAGCAGTTGGCTAAGAATATTTCCACAAGCCTGTTAATGCTGCTGCAAGCTCTGAACGACCGAGAGCCAAAGGGCCAGTTATGCTGTCGAACAAAAGAGGTGTGCAGGTCTGACTTACCCCTAAGACCCCAAAGCGCTCAGCCAGGCTCCAGCCGCAGAGGAAGTCGATTTCAAACTTGTGGTTCAGGACGACAATGGCGTTTTCCTGCCCGTACTTGGGGTAGGCCCGGGGGTCCGTGTAGATGACGCACTCTGTACCCGACCACCACTCTAGCAGCATCACCAGCTCTGGAACAGAGACAAGACAGGCCTTTATTTCACGCACCTCTGCGGCCAGGGCTCTGGGCCCCGGGACGGCTTGGCACAGCAGGGCTCTGCCTTCTTAGCTTGAAGGGAAAGCAACTGCAAGGGGTCAAGTGCAGGATCGTTTCAGCCAAGATCCCAATCCTTGAAAGGACTTAGAAACAGAAGGAAAAAAATGAGAGAAAAACTCCACAAGTCTCCAGGGACGGAGAGGAAGCTTTGAGAAGGCAAATGACTTGCATTCCTTGATTAAGTACCTTGGGGAAAAGTAAATCTGAAAGCCTGAATCTCTGTCCTGGTGTTTACAGAGCTCTGAAAGGCAGCAGGAGGCGAGATACAAAATTCTTAACATCCTGCGAAATGACTAATTGGGACACTTATAGACTCCATCAAAGAACACTCAGTTCAGTTCAGTTCAGTCGCTCAGTCGTGTCCGACTCTTTGCGACCCCATGAATCGCAGCACTTCAGGCCTCCCTGTCCATCACCAACTCCCGCAGTTTACTCAAACTCATGCTCATCGAGTCTGTGATGCCATCCAGCCATCTCATCCTCTGTCGTCCCCTTCTCCTCCTGCCCCCAACCCCTCCCAGCATCAGGGTCTTTTCCAATGAGTCAGCTCTTCGCATGAGGAGGCCAAAGTATTGGAGTTCCAGCTTCAGCATCAGTCCTTCCAATGAACACCCAGGACTGATCTCCTCTAGGATGGACTGGTTGGATCTCCTCGGAGAAGGGAATGGCAAACCACTTCAGTATTCTTGCCTTGAGAACCCCATGAACAGACTGCATTCTCCATGGGATTTTTCATCAAGAATACCAGAATGGGTTGCTATTTCCTCTTCCAGGGGATCTTCCCAATCCAGGGATTGAACCCGCATCTCTTGTGTCTGCTGCATTGCAGCTGGATTCTTGTGCCTGCGGAGCCATCGGGGAAGCCCCGTGAAGGACATGCCCCTTGTTATCACCACTTAGTGAGGTACCGGTCAGGCACTCGCTCACTCATCACCTGCCCACACACGCACACATGCATGCCCACACATGCACAAACATGCATGCACAAACCCACACACACAAAGCCCAGCCAAGCCTCACGTATGAAAGGCTGGACTGGCTGCCCTTGGAAGTCTCTCTCCTTGAGGCTGGAGACGGCAATGAGGTGCTGGAGCCAGAACTCTCTGGAAGGGGCTACAGTCTAGTTTCTAAGCCCGAGCCCTCTGGGGCTTTGGACAGGTGAACCCCGAGGCACCCCAGCCTCATAATCTTGGAAGGGGTGGCCTCAGGGGCTTTTGTGAGAAGCGACGGGCATCACATACAACAGGTGCTCTGTGCAGAGCGTGTGCCGAGCCCCCAGCAGACCCAGGCTTCACTGCCCACCCCGGGTCATCAGGAACAAACCAGAACACACCCCCTACCGGACACCGTAGAGTCTACCTGTTCGTAGAGCTGAGAAAACGCCGAGCCCCCAGGCAGCTGTCCTCCGGGGGCAGCAACCCTGGGGGATCCATCTGGGGAGGGAGGTGGGCAGGTCCAACCCCTCCCGGTACCAGTCATGGGGCCTGGACAAGCCCAAGGCAGAGCCGCATCCAGGAGGCAGCCAGGTCAAGAGGGATGGCTCCCGGGACGCGTCCCGCCATCACCTCCTGAACGCCTCTCTGGGCCCTGCTGCCCCCAGTCTGGGGCAGGCCGGGCCCGCTTCTACTTGCCCCAGCCCCTTTCAGGGAGCTCATCGCAGCCTGATGACCCCCTGCCCCCTTACAGGCCACAGGCCCCGCGAGGCACAGACCTCCTCGCTCGGTCCATCCTAGCCTCAGCCTTTTGCTCCAGGACCCAATATGATGCGGGCACATGTCTGCTTCCAGCAAACAGTGTCTGGTGGCCGGACGTGTGTAGGTAGGATGCCGGGGGGACTGGAGGTGAGGCCGCATGACTCAGTGGCTCCCGGGGTCCCACCCTCAAAGCCTGCAGCTCGGAGAGCAGACCACCTCATGCCAAGAGGCGGCAAGACCAGGAGGTCAGAGGCCCTGCCTGGGACGGATGCTGTGTGTGGATCTGGGGGCCAGGCTCCTGTGTCGGGGGCTCCACTCAATGACTGTAAGACTTCCCAGCCTGTTTCTCAACGTCCCGGAAGCCTCAGCATCTTTGTGAATCCAGACGGGAAAAGCTGCTGGAGGTGTGATGGCTATGACAGCAGATAATGTGGTGAAGGCTCCCAGTGTGATTCTGCACACGCAGGGGATGGTGAGCGGCCAGCTCCCGTGACTGTTCCATACACACGGCCCCCGGATAGCAGGCATGGCTCCGTGACCGCTGACGGGAAGGGGGCAGGAGTGGAGACGGGGACAGAGTCTCAGCGGCTCCCGCACCAGGGTGGGCGGCAGTCGTGATTTATGGTTGCACCACAGAGGCCGCGAGACGTCACCAGAGCATTTCTTTACAGAGGCCGCGGCAGCACCGATTCTGCGTTCTGAAAAGGCCACTCGGGCTCGGGTGGGAGCAGTGGAGGAGCAGGGGGCCTGTGAGGGCGGGCCGCAGAGACCCCGGGAGAGGCGATGACAGCCGGGCCAGGCGGGGGCCAGCGGGGAGGCCGGGCCCCCCACCGCCTCAACAGGCTGGAGTTACTCAGCCCAACACTGAAATCTCACTGGATAAGAGAGGCTTCTTTCCTTTTTTCTTTTCCTCCTAAAGGGTTTTCTTTTTAATTAACAAGAAATATATTTATAGTCATAAGGAAAAATAATTCAATTAACCCAGAGGAATTTAGAGGAAACTGTGCCATCCCCCTTGAGGGCCCTAAGGCATGTCTATCCAAACCCCTTTTCTGGTTTGTTTCCAGTTGTAGCTCAGCTGGTAAAGAATCCGCCTGCAGTGCGGGAGACCTGGGTTCGATCCCTGGGTTGGGATGATCCCCTGGAGAAGCGAAAGGCTATTCACTCCAGTATTGTGGCCTGGAGAATTCCACAGGCTGTGTAGTCCCTGAGGTCGCAAAGAGTCAGACACGACCGAGCGACTTTCTCTTTCACTTCAAAGGACCACTCAGGACGGTCTCAGGAAGCTGGGCAGGCTCTGCAGGTCGCAAGCGTGGTGGCTGACGTGCTGATTCACCTCCCGGGCGAGAAGCGACAGCCGCCTGCAACGGCTCCTTCCTCTCCATCCCCTCGGCTCCTGACTCCCCGGCCCGGCCGGCTCGGTCTGCAGTAAGAACCCGCCGCGGTCTCAGCTTGTCCTCGGAGAGGGAGCCTGACCTCCTGGGTCCCCTCTGTCCACATCCATCGCCCCTTCCCGAGGGCCCACCCTGGGCCTTCCAGCTCCAGCGTGAGCTGCACAGACCACAGGCCCCCAGGGCCGGAGAGCCCCCACACGTGACTAAGGGCCACTCCCTTCCCTGGGTGTGTATCTGCCAGCAGCTTCGCATCCCTGGTTGAACGCTGGGCACTTCCTCACCAACAACCACAATCCTGCTCCCTTCCTCAGGGTTAAACACAAGGAACAGCTTCAGGGTGGCCTTCCAGGCCTGTCCTTAGGGGGTTACACACACACATGCACGCACATACACTCACGTTTCCCCCTTGAATGGGATCAAACTTCATTGACCTTTGTAAACACACACATACGGTTATTTTTTCCAAACGGTGTATTTGGTTCTCTTTCCATGTTAATACAGATACACAGAGGTGTCAGCAATTATGGACCAGGCTCTGGATGTGGGCTGGGCCATGTTCCAAGGCCACGTGCGATTTGCATTAAATCCTCACGTTTAGTGGTAAAGAACCTGCCTGCCAATATAAGAGATGCAGGTTCAACCCCTGGGCCAGGAAGATCCCCTGGAGGAGGGCATGGCCACCGACTCCAGTATTCTTGCCTGGAGAATCCCGTGGACAGAGGAGCCTGGCGGGCTGCAGTCCGTGGGGTTGCAAAGAGTCAGACACAACTGAGCACAGGCACAGAACAGAACCCTGGGGGAGGAAATACGATTGTCCCCATTTTACAGATGAAGAAACAGAGGCAAAATCCATGTGGGATAACCAGCTGCATGGCCATTCCTGCTTCGGACATATTATGATTTATTCAGCCATTCCACCATCGATTAACATCCTTCCCCCGCCCCTGTTTCTTATTGTTACAAATATTGCACTAAATATCCTTGAAAATGCTTGCTTTTTAAAAAATTGTGTAAGGATTTCTCCAACATAGGTATACTAACAAGTAGAATTATGGATTGAAGAGTATATGCATGCTATCTCTGTCTGACTCTTTGCGATCCCATGGACTATAGCCCACCAGGTTACTCTGTCCATGAGATTTCCCAGGCAAGAACACTGGAGAGGGTTGCCACTTCTTTCTCTGGGGCGGCAGGGCAGGGGGGGATCTTCCGAACCCAGGGATCGAACCTGTGTCTCCTGCATTGGCAGCGAGTTCTTTACCACTGAGCCACATGTAAAATGAAAGCTATAAATGGAAATGTCAATATTTATTTAAAGCAGAAGCTGGAGTGGATACAGGGGAGACAAGAAGGGAGAATTTGCCTCACACAGACGTGAGATTCATGGCCAAGGGGGAGGACCTCATCATCGAGACGGGCTCCTCTGTCCCCCCGCCTCCCCTCCCTCCCACGGCCCTGAAAGGAGAAGACACTCAATATCATCCTGGTCCTTCCGCCCACTGCGATCTCCGCCTGCATGTTAAGTCTTGGGCCTCGTAGGAGGGAGGGGACACCCCGGTCACCCCATTCTCGCCAGAGGTGTAGATTGGGCCAGCAGGGCCCCGGGGAGGGGGGTCAGACACTGGTAACAGACAGACATGCAGCTGAGTTTTCTTCAGTATAACGCAGCAATCTGGAAGCTTCCTGTCCCATTTTAAAATGTTCAGTTTGCTCAATTTTGCGGTCTTTATATTTCTTTATTTTGGCAGCCATGTCCTGAGGGCAGGGTGGCTGAAGACGCTGGAGAAGGCCCATGCAAGCGTCTTCCAGGAGCTCGGGCATCTCTG